TTTAATGTTTTTCCAGACTAGAGAAGGGGGTATGGAAGGAGATAAAGTAGAACAAAACCTATGCCAGCCATTTTTTTTCTTCTAAGATAGCAATTTCACTGTTTCAGCTGCTATTTGTTTATAGGAAATGTAGTTTTCCATGGTCATTGATAAAGAGTATTTTTGTACAGCCTCTTTCCTTTTTTTGCAAGCAGATGTGCAATCCTGGACCCACCAAGGAGGTGAGGCCAAATTGCTTCTGTAGGGTTGTTTTAAAGGAATAGTCTTATTGGCAGAAGATAATAATGTATTTCTGAATTCCGTATAGACTGAATGTACATTTTCATGATGCAAAGAAGGAATTGTTGATGTTGCTTGATCTAAAACAGAAGAACAATAATACCAGTCTGCCTTTGATAAATTATATTTTAACCTCGGGTTGAATTCAGAATTTGCTCTTGTAGAGTCAGCAGATGTGATAAAAATTGGATAGTGATCACTACCGTGTGAATTTGGTAATGTTTTCCATGATAGAAGGGAAACTAAGCCAGGAGAACAAAGAGTCAAGTCCACTACACTTCTTACATTCTGAGAAGGTGAAACACGGCGGGTAGGAGAACCATCATTAAGGATGCAAAGATTTAAGTCGTCTATCATATCTAGAAACGTAGATGATAGAGAATCGCAGTGATGTGAGTCCCATGAAGTATGGTGAATATTAAAATCTCCCATGATAACAACAGGAGGAGTTAGACAAGAAATAAGATTAAAAAGTTCATTTAAGATGGTAACAATAGGATCAGGAATGTATACAGACAGAAAAGATATGTTGAGAGTCTTGACTGCAACAGCATTAATCGAGAAGCTGTGGGAAGGAAGAGGTATAGAAGAATATGTAATTTTTTTTGAGATCAGAATAGAGGAACCAGCATGTCCATCGCTCCTATAATCCCGAAGACATGAATAACCTGAGATCCTAAATTGGGAGTCAGGTCTAAGCCACATCTCCTGAATGGCAAGAACAGATGGACTAAATTTGTTTATAAGAAAGATAAGTTCATTCTTTTTATGTTTGATGCTCCGACAATTCCATTGTAGAATTGTGAATGTTGCTAGTTATTGAAGTAAGCTAAGTTTATGACGTAAACTGAGGGGAAGTTCTGCGTCACTGAAACGGGAAATCACGTTAATTAACATTGATACCATAAGTTCGCAGAAGTTATCATTATTAGAGATGTTGTCATTCCCCAGTAAAGCACACCCATTTGGAAGGGAAGAAGGAGGGTTCTCAACAATTGCCTGATGGGCTGGCTTATCATATCCAGAATTTGATGAATTGTAAGTACGTTGAGGAATAAAGATTATTTTTTTATATGATGTACATTGTGAAGGCTGAGCCGAAGGAGCTGAAATACTGTCATTTATGGGATAAGGGGTCTGATGAGAAGAATTACGAGGCGGACTTCTTGTTGCGTCAGCAAAGGATTTTCGTACCAGAGAGAATCTAGTTGAAGCTTCTAAATATGATAAATTTTCTTGTGACATAACTAGTTTAATAGATTTTTGCCTTAGATGTTCAGGGCAGGTAGGGTCTTTTGCTGTGTGGGGTCCTGAGCAGAATAGACAAGTAGGAGTTTGCCTAGTTTATGATAAACCTTCATGATTCTGTGCACATATAAAGCAGCGAGGGGATGATCGGCACTGAGAAGTAACATGGCCAAATCTGCAACATTTATGACACTGAATGAGTGGCAGAACATATTTTTCTACTGGCATAGAGGTGTAAAAACAGTAAATATGTGGTGGAAGTTTTTGTCCAGAAAAAGTTAGAACTACTGTTTGAGTTGGAATCCATGAAACGTTATTGCTGTCACTCATCATCATCATTACAGCCCTTCACAAGTCCACTGCTGAACATAGGCCTCCCCCAAAGAATGCCACAAAGCACGGTCCTGAGCCACCTGCATCCATCGACTTCCTGCAAATCTTACCAGGTCGTCACTCCATCTAGTGGGGGGACGCCCTACACTTCGCCTGCCGGTACGAGGCTGCCACTCGAGAACCTTTCTTCCCCATCGGTTGTCGGTTCTTCGAGCTATATGGCCGGCCCATTGCCACTTCAGCTTACTAATCCGTTGGGCTATGTCGGTCACTCTGGTTCTACTGCGGATATCCTCATTTCTGAGTTTATCACGCAGAGAAACTCCGAGCATAGCCCTCTCCATAGCTCGCTGAGCGACCTTGAGCTTCCTCATCCGGCCAGCAGTGAAGGACCACGTCTCAGTTCCGTATGTCATCACTGGCAACACGCACTGGGTGTACAGTCTCGTTTTCAAGTTTTGAGGTATACCTGACGAGAAGATGTGCCGTAATTTCCCGAACGCTGCCCAACCGAGTTGAATCCGTCGATTGACCTCTCGGTCGAAGTTGGACTTACCTAGTCGGACTATTTGTCCCAGGTAAACATACTCGTCAACAACTTCGAGCTTAGTGTTCCCAACAACTACCGGCATAGGTGTGACATGGACATTAAACATGATCTTTGTTTTGTCCATGTTCATCTTAAGACCTATCCGTTGGGAAACACTATTGAGGTCATTGAGCATAGTGCTTAGGTCCTCCAGCGATTCTGCCATAAGGACTATATCGTCGGCAAATCGAAGGTGAGTGATGTACTCGCCATTGATGTTGATACCGTATCCTTTCCAGTCCAGAAGCTTGAAAACATCTTCCAATGCAGCGGTGAAGAGTTTCGGGGATATGACGTCACCCTGTCTTACACCTCTCTACAATTGGATAGGTTTCGTACTCTGGTTCTGTACTCGGATAGCCATCGTAGCCCTACTGTACAAGCACTTCAACACTTCGATATACCGACAGTCAACTTGGCATCGCTGAAGGGACTGCAGCACCGCCCAAATTTCGACGGAATCAAAGGCTTTCTCATAGTCCACATACGCCAGACATAGTGGCAAATTGTACTCCTCGGACTTCTGTACAATTTGCCGAAGGGTATGTATGTGGTCTATGGTGCTAAAGCCCTTTCGGAAACCGGCTTGTTCGGGAGGCTGGAAGTCGTCAAGTCTGCGCGCGAGACGATTCGTAATGACTCTCGAAAACAGCACGTAGACGCGGCTCAGAAGGGAAATCGGTCTGTAGTTCTTCAAGAGAGCGTTGTCGCCTTTCTTGAAGAACAAGACCACCGCACTTCTGCTCCACGCCTCCGGTGTAATGCCACCATGGAGGACGGAATTAAAGAGCTTCTGAAGGACTTCAAGTACCGGTTTTCCACCCGCTTTCAGAAGCTCCGCTGTAATTCCATCCTGGCCTGGGGCCTTGCCGTTTTTAAGGTGCTGGAGAGCCATTCTAATCTCGCTCAGACTGACGTCCGGGATATCATCGGAATAATGTCGGATAAGACTCGCTCTTGGATCGTTACTCACACTTGCGTGTGGCTCCAACGATGACGTGTACAGCTGCCCATAGAACCTCTCAATCTCACTCAAAATCTCAGGTGCCCCGGAAACGATGCTGCCACATTCCGTCTTCAGCTTTGACAGTTGGCGCTTTCTGGCAGACAGATCTCTGGCAAAGACTTTGGAGCCTTGGTTCCGCTCGATCGCTTCTTCAATACGAGCTGTATTGAAGTTGCGTAAGTCCCGCCGCATGCATTTGGAGATCTGTCTGTTCAGTTGCCTGTATGCTGTCAAATCTGTTGAAGAATGTAGCTTCATCTCCCGTCTAACAGCCATGAGATTAAGAGTGTGATCGGAGAGTTTTTGTGTTCTTCTGCGGCGGGTCTTGCAGAACTTAGCTCCGACCGCATGGACAGTTTCCACGAGCTTGTCATTCAAATCGTCCACTTCATTGCAGTCTTCTAGGCACTGAAAACGGTTTTGCAACTCGAGCTGAAAGGTTTCGGGACTTTGGATTAGAGCACGAGGAGGACGGAGCGTTGACTTCATTAGACGAGACCTCTCCAACTTAACGTTTAGGTTCAGTGTGCCTCTAACCATTCGGTGATCGCTGCCGGTTTTCACCCTCGCGATCACTGAGACATCACTGAACAGTTGTCGTCTGGCTGTCACTCACTGATCGTCTATTGAGTCGGCGAGCTTTAATTATAGTACCATATCCAGAGGGAATTTCTATAGGTGCTATTAATTCTTGTAATGTCCACTCTATAGGAACTTGTCTGACTAGCCCCATACGAGTGATATTATATGAAGGGATAGTTGTTCCATATTTAGAAGTCTGAAGAGCTGGGTGATCAATAAAAGTGTTTGAATCCACTGCTGTTTTAAACTCAACTGATATCCCGTTTCATCCAACTTTTTTAATGCCGTCACAAACTATATTTTTAATGTTATTATGATACAGAAAGTGACCAAATTTAATTGGTTTGACAGTTACTCCGGACACTTGATCATTTGACGTTTTACTTACGTGAACTAGAAAAGGCGCGGTATCATCTTGAGAGTACTTTACTTTCTTATTAATAAAATCAGGATGGGTATATGAGGATTGTATTGAAGGAAACTGTTGGTTTGGATCAGTAATAACTATTTTTTGTGGATGGGCAGACCCATTGCTTATTTGGGCGCTTTTACGATTAATAGATTCTACATTATCAACGGGTAAAGTAAAGGAGTCATTGTGAACCCTTTCGGGATCGGGAGGTTCGTCCTCCATTATATTTCTATTACTAAAATTTACATAAAAACAGCACAATTAAAAACACTTACTAATCTACAGATGTTAAAACCACCACCAAGACAAAAAAATTTACTATAGTGACTCAACAGCACTTAATGTAACAGTAAATTTAAGCGAAAAAAAACTACGACACTTGTATCTCTCACTTAACCTCAAAGCAAAAGCCCAAAAAAAATGTTAGTTATTAATAACTGGATTAAAATGCGAATCTTAGTGGGTAAATAGGAAATTGAATGATGGATCAAAACTAACCATGTTGCTCCGTCGTTGGGAAGTAGTACATAAACGAATTCGCAAAGACATACCTGGTATCTATTTTCACCAATGCGCGCAGCTGTCAATGGTTTTCCATCCACCTCAGCATACAACGCGTAGTTTGCAGGAAAAGGATTATCACATTTCAGTGTAAATTCTGTAATATAAGCTATTTGTGTGACTATCGTTGCATCCAAACTTGTGATTGAAGTTGCTTCAACCTGAGGATTTTGGCAGCTTTGGGCTTGCGCGCCGCTAAATAAAGCAATTACTAAGACCGGTATCAAAAAATTTGTAACCATTTTGCAGCCTTTTGTGACTTAGAAACTTTATACTTTATTACCACTGCACTTGTCCACGTAAGTATCGCATAATCGCAAATTGTAAGAAAAAGAAATCAGTGAATGTAAAGTGTCAAACCTGTGAGTGACGTGTTCAAATACTCTGATTCAAAGAGAAAGTACATATTTTAAAAATAAATTGTATCGTTAGAATTAATTTTATGATTTATTCCTAAATTTAAATCTTAAAAAAAATTGTAGATAAATATAAAAGCACCTAAACATACTTGTGAAATATTATTTAATTTTAAGTTCAATAATTTTTTTTATTTAATAACAGAAAATTTGTTTAAGGAGACATAGTTCAGAACGCACTCATAAACATCACCGGTGACGTGTGGCTAAAATGCCAAGGTGTCATATTACCTAACGTAGCGTACTGAATTAAGATTTTATCCGTTCTAGCCTTTAATCTGTATACAGACAGATCATTATCTAGAACCGGATGGGGGATATGATAGTTAATGTTACATTTTATGAATTTTTAACAATGGTGCAATTACATACAAACAGATTGCAGTTTTTTTCATATTCTAAAAAGTACCCAATTCTGATTATTTGAAGTTATATCGATCTTATAAAATGAGCATTTTTACTTATTTTTTATTTATAAACTACATAGGTACCATTTAAGACCAGAAGCAAGTTAGCGTAGAACATTTTTTTTTCCTTAAATGCTCCAGCTGAATCCGAAATTGCTCCACCTCTATTAATATTAGTTAATTTATAATTATTTAAAAAAAATTAAGTATCGAAAATTTAATTTTGCTATAAAACATAAAATATTTACTTTTTAAAATTAAATTGTATGCCAATGAATTGCTCCTTAAATGCTCCAGCAGAATTCAAAATTGCTCTACCTCTATTCCTATTTGTTAATTTATAATTAATTCAAAAAAAATAAGGATCGTTAATTTTATTTAGCTATAAAACATAAAATATCAAATTTTTTTTAAATTAAACTGTATTACAATTAATTGCTCCTTAAATGATTCAGTAGAATTTGAAATTATTACACCTCTGTAGCTGTTAGTTAATTTATAATTAATTAAAAAAAAAATTAAATATCGAAAATTTTATTTTGCTATAAAACATGAAATGTCTACTTTTTAAAATTAAACTGTATGCCAATTAATTGCTTCTTAAATGTTCCAGTAGAATCCGAAATTGCTCCACCTCTATTGCTATTTGTTAATTTATAATTAATTAAAAAAAATATCGAAAATTTAATTTTGCTATAAAACATAAAATATCCACTTTTTAAAATTAAACTGTATGCCAATTAGTTGCTCTTTAAATGTTCCAGCAGAATCCGAAATTTCTTTACCTGTGTTGCTATTAGGTAATTTAAAATTAATTTTTAAAAAATTTAAGTATCGAAAATTTAATTTTGCTATAAAATTGAATAAAACCATTTTTATGGATTTTATCGCGTTTAATTAACTTATTTTATATTCCCGACGTTTCGGTTGCTTTCCAGCAACCGTGGTCACGGGGGACTGAGGTGATTGACGTCCCGATGTCAGTGTTAAACCGGAGTACCTTCAGCTTTTTTAATTAATATTTTTGGTCCGATCTACGTAGAACGAACTAACTGTGTCTTGAAGTCTTGCAGTGGTATGCTTGGGTTTAGTTTTAATTTTATGAATTACAGGATCCCAAGCAGGTCTCTATTGAAATTAGGATGTTTTTTAATTTCAATAGCCTCACGTATCATCCTTGGCAGGAATCGATGTTCTTTCGCGAGAATTTGTGGTTTATCAAATCTAATGTAATGGCGGGGGCCGTCTAGGATATGATCACAAACTGCAGACTTCCCGGAACGTTGGTGCTTCACGTCAGCTATGTGTTCTTTTACGCGGGTTTTTATAGATCGTTTTGCTTGCCCTATATATGAGAGACCACACTCACAATCAAGCTTGTACACTCCTGCATCTTGTAGAGGAATATTGCACTTGACGGATGGTAAGAACTGACTAATATTTTTCGGCGGCTTGAAGAATGTTCTAATAGAAGCTCGCTTCAAGATGTAGCCAATCTTGTCTGTGACACATCTGACATACGGTAGTACAGCAGGCACACGCTCGACTGTGGCCGGCTTCACTCGGTCACTGTGACGTAGGCGCGGAACACGAAGCTTGTTGTCGTGCAGAACCTGCTTGACGTGCTGAAGCTCGGCGGCCAGGTGTTTGCTGTCACAGATCCCTCGTGCTCTCTGTAACAAAGATTTGCCCACGGTAGCTAACTGTGAAGGGTGATGGTGGGATTCACCGTTTAAATATCGGTTTGTATGGGTCTTTTTCTTATACACAGTGTGACCTATGGTATTATCAGGATTTCTAATGACTAATACATCTAGGAAAGCTAAAGAATTATTTGTCTCTAACTCCATAGTAAATTGAATTTTAGAGTTTATGGAATTAAGATGTTCTAAAAATGCAGTTACTTTGTCTGATGGTAAAATTGTGAAAGTATCGTCTACGTACCGCTTGTAGAAACTTGGAGTTACTGGTGCAGTAAGCAGGGCTTTCTCCTCAAAGTCCTCCATGAAAATATCGGCGACAATGGGAGATACTGGTGAGCCCATCGCAACACCATCTACTTGCTTGTAAAATTGTTCCTTCCACAATAGATAGCCAGATGTAAGGCAATGTCTGAGTAATACTGCATATTCTGCTGGCATGTTGTTTTCCTCTAGTTTCCTAGTTACAATTGAGATGCAGTCTTCAACAGGTAGGCATGTAAATAAATACTGAACATCAAAACTGACCATAGTTTCATTGTCAGTAAGACATAGGTCTTTTATCTCACTGACAAAATGGTATGAATCCTTCGTTTGTGCTCTTGTGTGTCCTCTGAGTGGTGATAGTACTTTTGCTAGGTGTTGAGCCAATTTGTAAGTTGGCGAATCGATCTGACTCACTATTGGACGTAATGGAGCGTTTGGTTTGTGTATTTTTGGTAACCCATACAACTTGGGTGGTTTTGCACACGCAGGTATTATCGAATTAACGTCTAGATTCAATTTCTCGGAGTATTTCTTTATTAGATCGCTAGTTGTTTTAAGCGTATTAGTTGTAGGGTCTGTTTTGACCTTTACGTACGTACTTTCATGCGATAAAAGTTGTTGTATTTTAAAATTGTAATCCGACGTATCCATTATAACCGTAGCATTACCTTTATCTGCGCGGAGAATCGTGAGTCAGATCGATTCGCCAACTTACAAATTGGCTCAACACCTAGCAAAAGTACTATCACCACTCAAAGGACACACAAGAGCACAAACGAAGGATTCATACCATTTTGTCAGTGAGATAAAAGACCTATGTCTTACTGACAATGAAACTATGGTCAGTTTTGATGTTCAGTCTTTATTTACATGCCTACCTGTTGAAGACTGCATCTCAATTGTAACTAGGAAACTAGAGGAAAACAACATGCCAGCAGAATATGCAGTATTACTCAGACATTGCCTTACATCTGGCTATCTATTGTGGAAGGAACAGTTTTACAAGCAAGTAGATTGGCCCTCCCCGCCTACCGCGGATCTGTTAACACGTACAGTCTGTGTCTCTCTAAACAGGCCCTCCCCGCCTACCGCGGATCTGTTAACACGTACAGTCTGTGTCTCTCTAAACAAAAATCCAATTAAATAGTTCGTATGGCGTTTTTCTTATTAAAATTAGTGTTAATACAAAGTTAAAGTTCACTCCCATAAAGTAACGGTGAAAAAACACAACGAAAAGTGCTAAATCAAATGTGTGCATTCGCTTACAAATTTAAATAAAAATCAAGTCTCCGTTGGTTAAAGACTTAAAGTGAATTGAGTGTCGCGCGATTAGCTTCGAGCGTTGATGACTCATGTTCTTGTTGCTAACTAGTGACGAATTACGGACTTAGAAGCAAGTAATCACATTTTTCACTCATAGCTTACAAGCTTCCGTAGCTTAGTGTGCAACGACATGGGGTGAACTCCGTCGATCTAGATTTCAAATCTCAATGTACTTCTTTTTTTTTTTTTTAGTATTATCTGGATTGTATTTTTGTTTTTTATTCTTATTTTTTCATAATGAAATTTCATTAAAATTTTCCTAAGATTCTGGGAGGGAATTTGAAGGAAACAATTAATACGAACTGTATAAAGAGCAGAATTATAGTTCAATAAAGGATAAATAAAAACTGTTAAAATGAATAACTCTCAAAATTGTGCCGGCTGCAAAAACTCTATAACGAATAAAGACTCTCTACAATGTATGCAATGCAAGGGGAAATACGATCTGGATTGTGCAAACATCAGCCCAAAGAACTGTCGTCAAATGGAGCGAAAAAAAGAACATTGGAAATGCCCGGAATGTCTAAGCAAACTACCAAAAAAAGGCAATTCTAACACCCCTGTGCGAGGCACCACGGCAATCTTAGAGGGAGGAACAAACCTACGAACGGATTCATCCACCGTGTCGCATGTCCTCAAGAGTGGCAATCCCAATGTAACGGTCCGATCCAAGGTGTTAAATCCACCCCCACTCAGTGAGACGAGCAACCTAGTACAAGGCGTTGAGAACATCACCATCAACTCTTACGCGGATATTCTTAATGACTTAAAAATCTACACGAAAAATTTATTACACGATGAAATGGACAGAGTACAAAAAGCTATCGGTAGTCTTACGAATACCATTAAAGACCAAAACAGCCGGATTGAGCAACTGGAAGCTAGAGTTTCGATATTGGAGAATAAGTCGGAAACCAAGCCTGCCCAAACCCATCCAATTGAGCGCATCGTAATGCAGCTGCAGGCTGATATTGCGGAAAGAGACCAAACTTTACTCTCTAACGACCTAGAAATAGCTGGCTGTCCAGAAACACCCAATGAAAACTGCACCCATATTATTCTGACGGTCGCTAAGAAAATTGATATGGAGTTGGACGATAAAGACATCGTATCAGCAGAACGCGTGGGCCCACTTCGTCCGGCGAAACAGGACAGCACAACACCGCGCCCAAGACCTATAGCCATGCGCCTCGCACGCCGTGATACACTGAACGGCCTGCTTCAAGCTGCACGCTCCAGACGTAATCTC